TCTTGGAGCTGCTTTTGTATAAAACTATAAAGTGTTATATAAAATTGTGTAGTGAGTAAAAGTAGAATTCTTTCAGATGTTCAGTATCTAGTTTATATGTAAAGAGATCTTTTATTTTTAATTACAGGAAAGTTCATATTTTAGGATCTTTTCAGAATATTAAAATGGCACGGACAGCCATTTGCAATCTCATTCTAGGTAAAACTTGTTTTCCTTTTGTTAACATTATATTCTGAATTTTGTCAGTTAAAGAGGAAACATTTGCAAGCAGAAAGTGCTTTTAGTTAGAGAAATGTAACTTGACATTTCTATGAGGGCAAGGGATAATCTAAAGGCTATAAACAGTGATCAATGGAGCAGGAGCCATAACTACAGGCTGTTTCCCTATACAACTCAAGTTTTCAAGGGTGGGTAATCAAACACAGAAAAACTGAGATGGCACAAAATTGCTGCTTTCCATATATGTCACACTGGAAGGCGTTTTTGGAGCAAGAAATTAAAAGTTAATTTTTTTTCATATCATTAAACTGATGGCTCATCAGTGGGCTTCATTATTACTCTTGTTCTGCATCTGCCATCTAATTCTAACCTAAATATATAGAATTTTGTGTTTAATGTAACGTAACATACTTTCATTTAGGGGTACTCTAGTTAGAAAAAGGCCTAAGCTATACCAATTTTAAATATATATACATAGACATACATACATACATGAATGTGTGTACACATACAGCATATACATGCACATATACATATGCACACACACATTTCATGTTTCTAGAATGCCCATCTCCTTCAAGAATGTATGACACAGCAGCCTGATAAGAGCTTCCATTGTCCTAGAACTAAATTCTATTCCTAAGTGAATAGTTTATTAATAGTTTTTATTACACTAATTATAACTGTAGACCTTTGCTGTATTTTTAAAAATATATTGTATCATTAGCTATAAATCAGTTGTATTAATGCACTGTTTTCTTCTACAGGAAGTCCTCCATCTAAAGTTTATGGCAATATTAGAGCAGTAGCTAGCAGAGCAGCAGAAAGATTTTAAAACTACAGTTTTTGAAGTCACAAAATTCTACACAAGATACTGGAAAACACTTGAAGAAAGAAGCCATGTCAAAATGTAGATTACAAGTGTGCTTTTCTTTAAAACCCCAAAACAAACACATTGTTTCAGAAGCTCTGCTAAACCATTTCAAGAGGGTGGCAATTCAGCCAAACCAAAATTTGGACTATTTTGTTTGTCCAGAGTTTGGGCTGAAACAAAATTCAGAAGGATTTTAAGGGTGAGTTGGGCAAGGCTGATATGAAATGCCTCTCTCTTCCCTCCTTTGGCTTGTGGCAGACTACCTATCTTCCCAATGTCTTCCTTGCCCTATTTCACACTAGCTACTGCCACATCTTTAGCTTTCAGTGAAAATACCCACCTGAACTGCTCCTCCCTCTGATCTTAGCAGCATCTTCACTTTCTTTGTTTCTGGTTGCCACTAATATTCCTAGGATTTTCCACTTTCTCCCTGCCCCAAAATACTTCTTTCCGAATTAATTCATGCCTACGCCACTCAAATCTAGCAGTTTCGTGCATGGAATATTCTTCACATCCCTAGTAAACTGGTAGCAATTTTCTGTTCCAACATGACTGGTATATAATAGAACTGCTGCAGCAATGCTCTCAAACAAATATCTATCATCAAGCATTCTAAATGAAATTATGTCCAATAAAAACTGGTACTTGAATTTCCTTCTAGCTGACATGATTGTTATCTTTTAAATTGCATGGATACAAGGTTAACTGAATACAGCAGCTATGATCAGAATACTTTGGATAGTATGCTGCAAGTCACTATTGGATGCGTTGTTCTTAACACAAATCCCCAACTCTTTTAAAATACTAAGATATTTAGAAATATAACTGGTTGCTGGCGAAGCTGCTATTCTATCAAAGCATGGGGCTGCTTGCTGTATTTAGCAGACAAATATATTTACGGTTAAAGTGTATTAAACTAGCAAACTACAAGCATCTAACTACATCTATCCAGATGTTAAAATGAGTTGATCAAATGTTTCCAATCACAAATATTTTTCCCTCTTATTGAGGAACTTTTCAGATGAAGGGAGGAGGAAGCTGTTACAATGTTGCTACCTTCCTTCCTGGAAGAAGAGATAAATAAGATTTTTTTCAATATTGTGGAAATACAGAGGGAGATAACGTAAAGCAACAGTAGATCCTAGGGTTAGCTGTTTTTGCATTAGGGCCACCCGCCTTTCTAATTCTATAGCAGAGAGAGAATGCAAACTAGACTTGAGAAGGCACCAAAGAAGTCTAAAACAAAAACGGAGGTGAGTGGAATCTTACATTTTTAGTCTCGACTCTTGACAATTGCCTGAACGAGTCTTTGCTGTTTTGTTGGCAGACATTTTGGGAAGTACCTTGACTTTTCCTTCCTAGAGCTGTGAGAATGGAATTGACCCAGTTACCTACCTGCCTTTCTACCTAAAGCAGGACTAGAACTCGGTCTCTGCCTAATGTCTTTAACCACTACACCAAACCACCTCTCAGGACATGAATATCTATCTGTTATAAAAGAACCTTGCAGGTCTCCTTCACATTAAAATGTAATTTTAGTAATTTGGCATCTTAAAGCATTTATAGATCAGAGCCCATTTCATATTATTTCATGGCCCAAATGTGTAGACAATTTACAGCAGCTTTTGGAACAACTGATTTTTTTTTTCATTTTTTGCTGTAAGATTCTGCAAGCAATTAACAAAAGATGTCTTATCCCATGAATGCAGATGCTAATAAGGGCTTGCTAATAGCAAACTAAAGATCCTTTCATAGTAAAATTCATAATTTTAATACCACAAACTAGCTCTTAAACTATGTAAATTCCCAGTAACCTATTCAAGCTTAATGTCAATTTGCAAAATCAGATTGAATAGCTGAATTATAGATTGTATGTATGGTGCCAGTTCTTAGTTACAGCCCCTCATGTTTTCTAATACTTTCAGAGATAGTACAGGAAAAACCCTCTTTTCAGATTCAAGGGGATTCTTTTAAATTATACATGAGGCTCTTTGGATCTAAGATACTATTGTTTTTTAAAAAGTATAAGATTCTGTGCTGAAGTAGGAATGGATAATATGTGTATTCAATCCTAAATTCATTATTCCCTGATGTTTACAGTAGATATATCTTAGATGGAACTTTCCCTTATATGTGCAATGAGTCAAGATTGCAAATTTAGAAAAAAATACTATGCTTAAAGTAAAATTGGTATTACCGTGGAACTAAGAATAAAACTGACCAACTAAAATTCTCCCCATAAGTGTGCCAAAAACTTCCATAAAATTACAGCTTAATGTATCCTGATCTTACGGTTCCTATTCACTAATACAGGATAGTTAACATGTCTATGAAAGAAAAATTAATTTGGGAATTGGTTATCCCTTTAAACATTAAATCTGATGCTATCTGCTGTTAAATGAACTGTCACTGAGAAAAATGGGCAAATAATGTTACAGGTATTTAATTATACATAAAAGCGTCAAATAATTTTAGTACAATCAGATCTGAAATTCAGAAAATTCTTTTTTTTTCAACTGAAGCTTTAACACCATGCAGTAAAGTTCAAATAGTTTATTTTTATTCATACATTATTAAGGTTCCTATAGTTCCAACAATGTATGATATAGCATGCAGAGGAAAAATCTAAACATTCAACATAACCCATTTTTTTTGCACACAAACTAAAAAAAGCTCATTCCCCCAGTACGAAAGTAACATTAGCACTATTTTCTATTATGCCAGCAAGGATATGCACAAGCAATTAAGAAATAGAAAGCAATTGCTAAAATATTTGTAACAAATATTTATGTACAAAAAAAATTCACAAAAGACTAGTTCCCCCTGAAGCAGAGCACATGGCAGTTGACAATGGAACAAATACAACCACTGGCTGGGATTATAATCCACCTACTGATCCAGAGGAAGAAAAGATACATGTAGTGGAGATTTTCTGTTTTAACATTTACCAAAATTTTGGCAACATTTATCTTTTTAAAATTATGCAAATCATGTAAACAAGAGGAACATTTCAAATCGATCTACATGCAAAACTTCATGTCATGCAAGGACACCAAGCACCTGGATTTCTCTCTCACAGACAGAGCCCATGATGTGCAGCACTCAATTGAAGGAACAGCTATGGCTGGCTGGGAGGCAATTGATTTTGAGCAACCTGCCTTTCCACTGCGGATTATAAAACATTTCAAATAGAAAAATTGCTAGAGGAAAGGGCATACTATCCTAAAAATCTAACAATTTTTTTCTAGCCAATAGTACCATTGCAGAAAAAGAATGATATAAAGTTGTATAACATGCCTTGCTACTTTTATATCACACATATAAAGTCACTGTCAATTACAAGTCATGATAAAAACAAATTTAGAAAAAAGAATTCTCCAACTGACGATCAGGAGGTTAAAAAAAAAGTTAGATAATGTGAACCTTACCTCTTTCCCTATGGCAGAGGCTAATGTTTCTCCTGTAATAAACCTATATACACATATATAAAATATTACCAGGCTTTATGCAACTTAAATGAGTATATTAAATGCTTTAGAGAAACTATATAGTTGGAAGATATTTTAATGGCATGAGAGGTTTTGTAATCTTGCTGCAGAAGGTATCCTAGGAAATGAATCCTAATTCTTAATTATGATTAGTACTGAAAAACAAGTGTCTTTACAACTGTTTTGTCTATACTTAATGGAAAAAAGCCAATGTTTACTAGGTTTATTTTATGCAATTGTGTTCATTTATTAAGTGAAAAAATGAAATAATAAGCATCTTTTTGCACATACAACCTAGTTCTTGGCAATTAAATTTTTATAACATGCCTTGCTATTTTAATACCCATAAATAGTATGTGTACATATATGTACATGCATATACTATTAAATAGTGTACATATATACACAAACTAACCTACATTCCTGTCATACAAAAATGTAATTAAGATAAATTAACAGGAAATGATGCTATTTCAGCCAGCCAATATATAAACATCTGAAACAGTCACGGGAAAAAGTTGACCTAACATCCATTAAAACATTATATTCTTCTAAAGTATATTTGCCTGCATGTGTGTATCTGTGTGACATAAAAGTAAAGATGTATATCTATATGTGTTGAACTATATAATAATCTGCTTGGCACTTTTGTACTCTAGTTTTATGCCTAAATCAAGTATATTAAATTAAAGCTTGCCTAACTACTAAATAGAAAGCACAACATATATATCTATATATAAATACACACACACATATATATAGATAGATATTTTCTTGTTATAAAAGTTGAGAAAAATAAATTAAAAAGCCAACACCCTTCCCTTTCTCCACCACACTGATATGCTCTTTCCATTTTGCTGTCCTTCAGACTTTTAAAGTGCTACACTTGCGTTATTGAGAGAATGAAAGTTCAACAACACTTAGTTGGCTTCATGAGGCTCATGTTGGAAAATATGGTTTCACAGAGAAAAATACTTCCATTTAAATACACAGAGAGCATTGCTGGACGTCTTGAGCAGATCTTCAGAGATGGAGAAGAAAGCAAAAGTGTTGGGTAGTATCATAAAGAGTCACACATCTACCACCATCTTTTTGTGAATATCTAGGCCTCCTACAACCTGAAATATTGACCAAAAAAAAAAAAAAATACTGTGAGAATTAAAAAGACATGAAACAACAATAGGTACGACAAGAATAATCGGATTTAAAATATTAGTAATAAATATGTTGGTTCATACATTAGATAAAATTGATGTAATTGGCCTAGAATCCAATTATATAATAGGAAAAAAGGAAATATATACTGTTCACAAAAATAAAGGGAACGCAAACCCCTTCAGTTCCATGGTAAAATGTTCCCTTTATTTTTTTGAGCAGTATAGTTCTGGGTTTCTTTCCGTTCTTCCTAACCAACTTGATTATTTTGAACTGGGTGGGTGTTGACATTTAAAAAAAAAACAAAAAAAACTTCTACTTAATGATTGTTATGAAGCACACACTGAAATCGTTATAATGACACATATAAGAGAACTGTCAAATAAAAGTGAAATATCAAAAACATTAGTTGCTGAATAAACTGTAATGGATATATGAAAATACTAACTGCAATGATAGGGGGAAAATACACTTACAGCACAGAATTCTTCGAAGGATATTCTTCCATCACCATCTTTATCTGCATTTATTATGGTTTTGTCTACAATTTGCTGCAACTGGGTATCTTTGAGATTGTTCCCAACCATCATTTTCAAAACCTGGAAAAGCTCCCCATTGGAAATATAACCATCTTTGTCCATGTCATAGATGCGAAAAGCAACTACCAAGGAAAAAGAAAAATAACAGTTCTGAGTAAGACTCTCTGAGAGACTGGGAAAGCTGAGGATGAGGCTTTTGAATGCCTGTTTTAACAGAAGCAATTCATTGCAGCTACTAAGAGATTTTGGAAAAAGCTTTTAAAGAGATTTTGCCAGTGTAACTCAGGCTTGGAAATTCTTACAATTGAAGGAAAATTAAAGAAATTTCTCCTTAATTCTAGGTTGCTAAAACTAAGTCAATAATAGTCAGTAATCTCATTTAATCTTCTAAGGCAGTGTTTCTCAACCTTGACAATTTTCAGGCATGTGGACTTCAACTCCCAGAATTCCACAGCCAGCATTGCTGGCTGTGGAATTCTGGGAGTTGAAGTCTACATGCCTTAAAATTGTCAAGGTTGAGAAACACTGTTCTAAGGACTAGTTATGAAAAGTCTGACATCACTATACCAATGACTACTTTATATTTTGTTATATAAATCTCTACTTCCATGGCATTTGTATAAACTATGATGTAATTTGCATTATCTGAAACATACATTGTATATCTTGTCAAATTCTCATTGCTAAAATTCAGTAAGAGTAGTTATGTCTATATAACTGTATAATTTCCAGCTACATGTTATTGCTAAGGAAGAGTTAAAAATCAATTCTTTGCACTATTTCTTAGCAAATATCTCACTGTTCAAAGTATCAAAGGGAAAAGGGGGATGGAGAAGTATTAGAATAGCCATTTTTATGTAAAAGCCATTTATCTCAGAAATATGAAAATCATGTTATCACTGTTATCTAGCCCAAGGTATATTAAAACTTACAATGGCTTATGAAGTAAGATTAAGTGAGGAAGAACAGAAAAACAACTTTTTAATAAAACATAGTAGCTTGTAGTTAACAAAACATAATATACTTACACCTCAACTTCTGCTCTTTGTCACCTTTGACACTGAACTGGGAGACTCCTTCTATAAATTCTACAGAATACAGGTATATAAAGAGAATTTAGAAAATATTTTATATATCCCAAACTTTGGAAAATACCCTCAAATTTTCTTCCGTAACAATCTTAAAAGCCGTAATTTTTAATTATTGTTTTTATGACCCCAAGTTAGGTACTATGTACTTAAATTTTCTTATTTGACAAGATCTTGTGACTCTCAGAAGATACATAAAAATGCAGCTTTTAAAGATAATCATTGACTTACAACCATTTGTTCAGCAACTGTTTGAAATTATGATGTTGGTGGACCAAGGTACTTATACTCTGTGCGCAAAGTTACAATCATTGCAGCACCACCTGTGGTCATGTGGTACCAATTCGGGTCCTTGGCAGCCCACCTGCACTTACAACACAGGGATGCTGCAGCTCCCTCCACCTGCCTATCTCATTGCTCCCTTGGCCGAGAAGGCAAACAAGGCCCATCCGGCCTATTAGTTCAAGCAAAGCTTTGCTTGTGCTGGAAGGGGATGAGGCTTTCCAGACCTGGCCAGCTTTGCTTGGGTTGATGCCTGAGTGAGCAGCTAAGGCTGCCATGGGCAGCTCTGGTCAACTGCCATACGACAGCACTCTGCCCAAGGTGCAGGTATAATTATAGTAACTGGTTTCTCCCTGTAAGTGTTAAGGAGTCTTAGAACAATGCAACAGAATACTTTCTTTATTTTTCATCTCCCTACAGGTCTCAGAATTCAAGAGTCAAGGAACTCTGTGTGGAATCGTCAATAGTTGAAAGGGAATGAATAGAAAAACAATCTCCTTGCATTTTAACCATATCAAACATCCAACTGCCCACTGGTTATCATCTACATTTTAAAAGCAAGTATCTAGAGCCAACCCAAATCAGCTCTGGAGCCCAAAATTAATGATCTAATTACTAGGATAAAAAATATCGAAAGTGGAAGCTTAAAATTCTGTTTCTTTAGGATCACAGATTATTTAAATATGCTCCTAAACTATTATTTAAAAAATACAGCCTGGGACTTTTGTTTATTTTACTTTTTGATAAGTTTTACTTTTCAAATTCTAAAGTACTGTGACTATCTACAAGATCACTTCTTTTCACACTAACCAAACTCAGCATTAAGACTTTTAATGGCTTTTCTGCAATCCTTGTGCCATTTGAAATGGTATCAAGGATAAGTACGGTTTTCAGCTGTGGAACAACTGTCCAAGAAACTAATTCCTAGATGGGGTTAACCTATGGTGATTAGAACTTTTAAAAACTGAATCAAATGAGATGTTTCCACCGAGGGAATTGCACTCATGAGTAGGACAAACCATATTTCCTTTTCCCAAACAGATATACAATTACGAAACTATTAAATGCTTTCCAACATTTCAGAGATACTATTTATGAATAGAAGCATTATGAATCCTTTCTAGCTCATAATACAAAACATTTCTCAACTGGAAAGCTACATTATCACATAGAACATGAATAACTAAAGCTTATAACTAAGAAAAACTACAAAAATTCTACATATTATCACATTAGACGAAAGCTGACAGTTTGAATACATCTATAGCAAATTAAATTTTTCTTACCTTTGAAGTCTACTTCTCCATTTCCATCTGTATCAAATATATCTATTACTCGTTGTACCAAGGGATTCTGTTGTAACTCAGGCAAAGACATAAATTCTTCCACACTTAAAGAACCAGAGTTATCTAAATCAAGCTTCTTAAATCTCTTCCCCAATCGTTTAATCTCATCTGCATCAACTGGCAAAGGGGGAGGAGGAAGACAGAGAAATATGAAAACCTAAACTGAATATATAATAGTTCTTTCTTGTAATACAATTTCTTGTTCAGACCTAGAAACGACGACTATTTAAGAAGCATATCCCCTTACTCTTACACATAAACAGTTTTAAATATAATAAATTAATATGGATTACCTTTCATAGGACAGGACATTGCACATTTTACTGTAGAGCTCTGTATAACCTAATACACGCTGACTCAAGTGTTCAAAGGACTAACAGTGCTTAGTTAACTTCAGCCTTATGTTTACAAGCATCTGTCAGGTACAAATCTTTTAATTATCTAACCACGTCAGTTATCTTTTAAATAGGAGGGAATAAGAGTGAGGTCAGTTACAATGCATAAAAAATGAGTTTATTTCTATTTGTAGTTTTAACTCCTTATGAAACTGAACTGGTGTTGATCAAATATTAAATTTATAATACAATAAAGAAATATTGAATGATCAAATATTCTTTATTTTAAAAAATAAAATCTTGCCAAATTTTGTTTCTTTTGGCTGAAATGTATATTATTTCATTCTATAATATTATAGAATATAAGCCTGGATGTTTTCTTTGAGGAAAAATTAACATTAGAATGAAATTGAATGTTGCATCATTTTCTTTGTATCCAACAACAGTAAAAAAAAAAAAAGATAGCCACACCTTATGTCATTTTACAAGTAGCAGAATAAGCTGAATAAGTAACAGAAAGTATGTGATGTGTGTAGTTCTACATATTCCTTGAATACATTTGAAACTGATCTGTAAATGTTAAGGAATTTTCCTATAGACTGAAGGAATTATACCTAACACTGGTTAGTAGATGAATATCAGCTAATGACTGAAAACCAGTCATATAATTGTTTGCTTCTACATCACATCACACCATCCCAACATTACAGGAAAAAAGAAAAAGGTCTATTCCATTATATTAGATGAAGTCCATAGTAACCCAGCTATTAGGTAAACCAACTGAAAATATTTTTTCCACTGACTTCAAAAACCACCGGAAATAATGTATAAAGTTTTATGTACCACTTACAAAACATATGTGTCTGTATGCACACACATACACACTCCCTATATATTATAGATTACTGAAATAATTAAATGTGCTTTGTAAATTTTAGCCAATTCTTGATGTAATGGAAGCACTTTCAGAAGACTGCATGCCTATGTTATAAAGTACAGATAGTCTTCAATTTACAACCACAACTGGGGCTGGAATTTTAGTAGTTAAGCAAAATGATTGTTAAGTGAGACATCCCATGCTTCACTTAACAACCAGAATCCTGGCACTCCCAGTTGCAATTGTTAAGTAATCTCTCAGGTCATTAAATGGACAGAGTCCCATGTGCTTCAGGGGGGAAAGGGAAGCCCTGGGGGACTCCACTTAGGCACCACATTCTTCTCTGCCAAAATCCAAGCAGGATTTTCAGATTCTAAAGACCATATAGCACCCTTTCTGAGGTCATCGTTAATTTGAACTGTTAAGTAAATAGTCATAAGTTGAGGATTACCTGTATAGCAAATTGGAGGACAATTCAAAGTAACATTCTTTTTTTTTATGTCACTAGCAATCTTGATAAAACCTTTGCAAACTATTAAGTATCCACTGGATTATGAACACGAGATACAAATTAGTAATTTCTATTCAAAACTCAGTTTAGGTATGAATGTAATGGTGCTCTATATTTACATACTACAGTTTTAAGTATATATTAGCACCTTACAAAGTGCTTTTTTCTCCCCAAAAGGTGGCATAATAAAGTAAAACTTTTTCTGTGAAGATGACAACATAGGTCTGGTCAAAAATATGATTATATTAATTACTTTGAAAAATAAGAGTTCTAATCTAATTGTATAACAGCCTTCTGGAAAGGTGAAGAAAAGCTGTGTTGTGTGTTATTCCAATCTGGGAGCAAAAAGAACCAGAACCATATTGAGACTATCAACATTTATGCAAAACAAATTTAAATTCATACTAAAAGTAGTATCAATTTTCAAATATCATGCACTGAGATTCAATCCATCTAATCATATTATTGCAAGATCTAACCCAGTGGAACATCCAGTAACTGTTGAATATGTACTTACCAATCCTGAAAGCATGGTGTTCTTCCAGTATGATTTCAGGAACAGCATATACATAACAAAATCTTAATTCTAGTGTACAATTAGAATTGACAATGCTACAAAAAAGTCTTCAGAATTTTTTTTGAGTGCAATATTGTAAACATAATTTTTAGCATACTGAGAACAAAATCAAAAGACTTGGAACTTGGGGGTTCTCTTAATGACAAAGTAGAAAAATCCTAATGCATCTGGTTCATTCTGGAGAGAGCATAACCAAATGACTGGGTGAAATTGTTCCTGCAAGGCCTCTTTTCAGTTACCAATCCCTAACAGTTTTAGGAGTGTTGGGAGATAAAGCAAGTGAAAAGTCAGTTTGACCAAGCAACCATTCAAATAGGTTTTGGGCTTTCACAGTACTGTAGTGATAAATGCAACTACTAGACCAGTGTTTCTCAACCTTGACAATTTTAAGGCATGTGGACCTCAACTCCCAGAATTCCACAGCCAGCATTTCTGGCTGTGGAATTCTGGAAGTTGAAGTCCACATGCCTTAAAATTGTCAAGGTTGAGAAACACTGTACTAGACTCTGCTGTATCTGCAGAATCTAATCTAATCTAATTTAGTCTAACCTGCAACATTTTTAGTGATGGGACTAGCTAGATGAGTTTGCTGATTTCATTGCAGATGGTGTCACTTCCATTAGCTCAAATCCAAATATCAATTGGATAGAACCATATGAGATAAGTAGAATAAATTCATTAATTCAATCATGAAATTACACTTCATTATGACTTTGGATTCTTTATAAAATGATTCCTTGTACTTGCTACAGAACACAGTATTCCTCATACTCTGCAGCAGGGCTCCTTGGGAAAATATGGGAAGCCTGCAAAGGTCACAAATGGCAATCCCATGATTGTGGTTCGCTGCAATATCATAATTGTGAGTTGGGCATTTATGTAGAAAAAAAAACATACCTGTATTCCATGTGGAGTTATTTTTTAAGACAACCCAGAAGTTTAAATGGGTAGAAAATCTGGTGTCCAGGAAGTTAACAGAGAAAATGTGTTACTCTATATTGTAATCACAATTGCCAGTAGAATTCTGGGCAGGATTCAAAGCACTGGTTATTACCTATAAAGTCCTGCTTGGTGTGGTTCCAGGAAGCTATAAGACACCATCTTATCAAGCATGGTTCTACCTGTCCAGTAAGACACTTCATCATACGTCCATCAGAAGAGGATTGTGGATTTTGAGGTAGAGATTTTCCATGATGTTCTCCTTCTTACGGAATATTTTGCCCTGATATGTTTTTAAATTTCAGCATTTAAAAAGGGCATCTTTATAGTGAAGGGAATGGTTTTGTTTTATTGTTATTTATTATTTTGTACATATTCCAAGTCTTCAGAGAAGACAGAATTACAATGAAATATGTACATCTGTTGGTTAAAGAAGTTCAAAGGGACTGAGAATAAATTGTCATGGTTTGTTGAAATTTAATTGTCATCTTTTGTTGAAACTAATTTAAATCTTTCACTTTGTGCATAACTTTTGGGAAGAAAGATTAATGACAGTGTTTATGTATAACTAATCCTCCCATCCTTTCTTTTTCAACTCACAGACAATATTTCAATGAATCCCTCAATACTTTAGGAGTAGCTTTGCAAGGTACTGATACAAGAATAATACAACAGAATACCATATAGAGATTTTGTATATACAAATTCAGTTTAGCTGAATTCCATATACTACATTGTTATATTAAATTATAATTAAAGCTGAATTACTTCCAAGAATTATAATTGGCCTTCCTCATTTTAAAGCTGGTAAGGAGAGGCAGTTTGGTTTATTGGTTTAGACACCAGGAGACTGAATTCTAGTCCTGCTTAAGGCACGAAACCTGGCTGGATGACTTTGGGTCAGTCATCTCTCCCAGCCCAACTCACATCACTGGTTTGTTGTTGTAGGGAAACTAGGAGGAGGAAGGAATACTGTGCAAATTATTTATAAAAATAATTAAGATGGGATACCAATAAATAAACAAAATTTAAGTTTAAAGAAAAGTTTAAAAAAAATAATTATTTATATTGCCAACGTTTAATCCACTGATTTTTATCCTTTGAAGGTACAAATCAAATACTACTAATATATTGACCAGTTATCTTAAAAACAGATACTATTCAATGGTGGCTCATTCTCAATTAGCCAAAGCAATTTATCCTTGCTGTATGGTGAGAAATAAACCTGCAAAAAACTGTTCTTGCCTTTTTATTATAAACTTGAACTATCTATTCTCTTCTATACTGAGAAGAGTATTCTCAGGACAACACCTGCACTTTTGTTACAAGCAGTCTAAGTAAAGTTGAACTTACAGTGCGAACACATTTCCAGTGGGTAGCTTGCTTCATTTCCCTGAAATGAGAAAAAAAGAAGTGTTGTTTAAAAAGGCAGTTTAGCAGAAAGAAGCTAATGGAATACACCAAATAACTGCAATGGGGAACAGCACAATCCTAGGAAAAACCATGGCTGCTTTAAAGAGATGGAAACCAGTGTAATAGTTTCACATTTATACACAACAGAGCTCAATAACCCAATTACGCAGCTCTTCTGGTATGACTACCTTTAATTTTGATGACCTTCATCCAATAGATATCTAAGAATCATTTTCTTTCATTAAATTTCTAGAACCAGACCTTTAATTCTCATACCTTTTTTTCTTTCCAGTTAAATGGTACCGGTGTAATGCTAAGACTTCTCCTAACTTGCAATGAACTGAATTTATCTTAAATCAGCAGAAGGTACATCAGGAAATATATTTTTTTTTAAAGAGCCATTGCTGATTGTAGCTCCCTAACATTTTATCATTTTCATCTTTGTACTTTTGTCTTTGTCATGGGATAGTTTAATTCAGTATGCATCTGTGAATTAATGTTTTCCCTTTTTCTGTATATCCTGTGGATATGGAGCTGATCTTTTACCCCAAATAAAGACCATAGGTCTAAAAGAAATCATTAATCTCCAAATTCCTATCACTTGGTTCTAAAATATAATTGTACAGAAATCAATATATCCATAAATATACATGTTGCACACACACTTAAATCAATTTTCTTTTCGGCAAATGTACATTTTAATATAAGTAGATATTTTTCTGACTATCATTGTTTTTAGTTGAAGATTATGAAGTCAGGGCTGAAAGGCTAAGAGAAAGAGCAACAGATTTCAGCTACTGTATATGTACTAAATACATATTTTTAAATACTAAATCAATGTAGTTGAGATAGTCTCTCAAGTGGGAGCAGTGCAAAAAGTTAAAAATTTGAGGAACATTGTTTTTTTTTTTCTCTTTGATTTCTATGCATGTTAATCATTTGTATTGTTGACAAGGATTAACTTTAGTATTTTATTCTAAGATATGGACATCTCACCTGAATTATTAAACTTAAAGCACTATTTTTTTATTCTTAAAACATAAAAGGCTTAAACCAATCTTCAGAAGTCTGGAGTAGAATGTCTATGGAGATTCTCAATCATCCGGGTCATGATTGTCCCAAAGGTGCTGTTCAAAGGGCAACTGGACTTTCTTCATTTTTTTCCTTGAAAACATTTTGTTTCTCATCCAAGAAGCTTCTTCAGTGTGGTGTAAAATAGTGTGTGTGTGTGTGTGTGTGTGTGTGTATACACACACACACACACATACACACATACATATATATATAATCTTAACACTGCTGGTTTTTCATCAGAGAAACTTATTTTTTTCACTATTCATCTTCTATCAAATATATATCTTTCCAGATTAATCTGTGTAGAAAATATTATTTTTATGTCAGAAGACCCTAATTAAGATTTTTTGAGGAAACATTAACAAGAAAATGTTCTTCTGCAGTGAATTTTTCCCTAATCTGATATTGAAAATGTATTAAGGTAACTGAAAGCAGATGACAGAAAGGAAGAGTTCAGCTGACAGTCACTTAACCTGTGAAGCAGCTGTCTATGACTCGTTAACTATTTATAGTCACATACAGGAATCAACTTAAGTCTTGGCTATAATGTACAAATCTGACCTAGAAGCAGACTGAAGAAACAGAAAAAGCAGAATTTAAACTACTGAAACATTTTAAAGAGAAATGTCACAATTAACAATGTAACGCATGGCTCCCACACCAAATTAAACAATTACTTGCTTCATTTAAGAATTGAGGCCGAACATTCTTAAATAATGTATCCTAAGAACTACTTCACAAGTAAGAGATCAAACAAATGGGTAAACATATTAACAGTTTGAAAAAAATAAAATAATAAAAGTCCATTGTCTATTGTGAAAAAGAGAAATTCCATTAAAAAAATCATTTTGTCCAACAAAGTGCTGCCCGAAATAGGTGAACAAGCAACATTAAATTAAATTACTTTTTACTGATACATGTGGTTCAAAGGGTTTCTAGCTCTATCCAAGAGTATTGCAGATTTGAAAGATATTGCTAACCCAGAATGGAGCACTGTTGTGGAATGAGGCAGCATTCCTTATGAAGCTGCATCCTTCCAGCTTAAAAAAAAAAAAAGTATGTATGTGGGGTTCCTCAGGTAACCCAATCTCAATACCATGAAGGGCTCTAAAGGTGACAACCAGTATTTTTAATTGCATTCAGAAGCACACTGGCAACCAATGCAGCTTACAGATGTATGGATTAACTGTGTCATTTACTACCCATGCAGGTGCTCTGTACCAGTTGAAGTTTCCACATGCTCTTTAAGGGCAGCCCCATTTAGAACACATTTAGTAGGCACAAGGGCATGAGTGACAGCAAGCAGGACCTCCCTACCCAAAAAAGAGCACAAATGGCACACAACCCAAAGATCTACAATGTCAAAAACAATAGCAACGTTAACAGCCTCAAGGAAACAGTAATATATAAAAAACATGCTTTGAGGAAGCATGGAAATAATTATTTAATCTACAGCTGTGTGAAATATGCATGATTTTAACTTGTTCTGGGGAAATTAGGAGGAAGAAGATGTGTTGGATATGTTCATCATCTTATTTGTAAAAGTAATAAAAGTCAGAATACAAATAAAATTTTAAAAATAAAATTTTTTGAAACTTTTCTCTGAGACTTGGAACAATTACTTGCAGTGAAAAAATGAAGGGATAAAAGGCCTAAAAGATAACGAAAGGATGCTAGACATAAATTTTAAATATTCTTGTAATGTCCAGTATGATAATTGGAATTAATTTCATTTTTTTCATACTGGGTATGTTTCATGTTGACTTATCAAAGTACAGTAAGACCTCAATTAAAATGCAGAAAATAAATCTGTGGAAACTACAAATTCCTTTGCTACTTATAGTAAATTCTGCTTATTAATTATGATTAGTAACTACTGGAACAGACAGTATGGAAGACATTGTAGCTACCATTAGTCATAATTTTAGAATCATTCCCCAAATAAATGGATTACTTTTACTCAAGGCAAGTCTGATTAAAATCAAATTGATTTAAATCCCTCCAAAAGGAGATTGAGGTTTAATGATTTCAGAAACCATAAGGAAGATTCTACTGAATCAACCTTTTAAATTAAAAGATACTTTTTTGTTGTTTAATAAGCAAGTATTTGTCTTGATGTTTTTCAGATTTTTATTTAAAAATTGGATGGTTTTGTAATTTTATTTAATATCAAAACATAATATGAAATCATCAGGATCAAAACCAATTCCAGTCTAATTAACCATGGATGTTTGGAAAACATTTTCCTTGTTAGAAAACCAGCACCATAACTAAGCTTTTATACTATCATCAAAAACAGATGCATTTCTTAACTTTTAAACATAAAAGCGACTTCTTCAAAGCTTTTTTCATCCTTCCCCATTTTTTTAACTTTTGTTCAATGAAAAATTAAGAAACTTGCATATTCTTTTTCCAGTTTTCTTTGCCCTAATAAAGGTATTGCCCAACTTCAAATTTTGAATTTTAAAACTCGTGCGGCTGGTAGACTTATTACAGCATTTTTGTCATGAAATATTGTAAATTGTACTTTAAAACAAATGCTAACATACTTTGCCATTAAATAATCAAGTTCTAGATCAGCTTACAGCCAATCCAGATGTTGCTGGTGAAAACTGCATATCAGCCCTTGGCACTAATCATGCCATATAGGAATTCTGTAAAAGTCGATTCAATAGAGTCCAAAATAATATTTTAAGAGACACATGTCCTGATCAACCAACTAAAAAAATAAATAATTCATCCATTTTCCTGATACAGGTAGTCATTGACTTATGACTACAACTGAGCCTAAAATTTCTGCTGCTAAGTGAAACATTTGTTAAATGAGTTTTATCCCATTTTATGACATTTCTTGCCACAATTGATAAGTGAATCACCACAGTTGTTAAGTTCGTAACACAGTTGTAAAGTGAATTTGGCCTCCCCATTGACTTTGTTTGACAGATGATCATCACATGACCATAGGATACTGCAACTGTCATAAATATATGAACCAGTTGCCAAACTTTCAAACTTTGATCATGTGACCATGGGGATGCTGCAGTGGTCGTAAGTGTGAAAAACAGTCATAAGTTGTTACAATTTCAGATGGTCACTAAATGAACAGTTGTAAGTCAAGGACTACCTGTAGAACTATTATGTTAATTAACAGCCAAGACTACAGCAAAAGTTTTTCTTTTGCAGTATCTCCATAATAGGAAAGTCCACCAGGAGAAGGGCGGGATATAAATACAATAAACTTCAAACTTCAAACTTCAAACTTCAAAGGAATTGGTAGAGGACAAGAAGGCCTGGAGCAGTGGTTCTCAACCTTTTTAATGCCGCGACCCCCAACCGGTCGTAAGTCGAGGACTAAACCGGTCGTAGGTCGAGGACTAAACCGGTCGTAAGTCGAGGACTAAACCGGTCATAAGTCGAGGACTACCCAACCGGTCGTAAGTCGAGGACTTTCCCTGCCCGGGAGCGCCGCGCATGCGTGGTTCCGCCCCCTGCACAGGCCGAGGCGTAGCTGGCAAGCGGCAGAGACGGAGCAGGTCGACCACCAGTTGGCCCAGCTCAAGGGAGGTAAGGCACCCGCCGGAAAAGGGGAAAAAAATGGCGGACAGCCTTGCTTGGCGACCCCTGTGAAATGGTCGATCGACCCCAAATGGGGTCGCGACCCATAGGTTGAGAACCGCTGACCTGGAGAAACATGGGGTCACGATGGGTCGGACACGACTTCGCAACTAACAACAACAACTCTTTTTATTGGAATTCTGCCAGAACAAGTTGGCAATGGAGTCATGTGCATTGATAAAACTATACTACCTAGGATGCACTAAATCAGACACATCAAACTCGCGACGTCGCACAACTTATCAGAGCTTTTTCGCCGTTGCCGGCAATGGGGTGGGCACGGCTCCAGTA